GTAAACCTCTACCTTAACTCCGGGCTTCCACAACCCTCTGGGGCTTGGAGCTTCAGTTTAAGATCGTCATGACCCCCAGGTTGAGAAACACTGCTTGAGGACATCTACCACTACTAGCGTCTGTGCCCAGCATTGCGGGTAAGGGAGGAGTTGATACACATCCCTGGCTTCTGGTTATGCAAAGCACTCTCTTTGCTCAGCTAGTTTTGGGAACGCCCCTGCTTGTCTCTGGAGTCTGGCCCATTGCACGGGATGGGGCTGCCCGGGGAGTGCCTTTACCCAACTCTCCTTAAGGGCTTGGAGAGAGCCGAAGCCAAACCACTTGTGGATCATGTGCAAAACCTAAGCGAGGATCGTAACCCGAGCCCTCTTCGGTAGCAGCCTTCCCTACCTCCCCCGCCGTTGGCCCGTCCCACCTCCCCCCAGTCGCTGGCGGTGCGACACGTGCATCTCCTAGGGCTGGGCTGCACCAGCAGCTGTCAGCCCAGCGCCTGGGTCTCTCGCCCGCCCCCCTGGAAAGTCAGCGCGGGGAAGGGCGGGACTCGAGGAAGTGACTTCAGCTTGCCGCTGCTGCGGCGGGGCGAGAGGGTGGTTGCGGGGAGTCCCGGCGGCAGAGCCGAGGAGTCGCTCGCAGCTCGGGGGTGGCAGCACCGGGCATGGCGGCGGCGCGTTCCCTGCTGGGCGCAGGGCGGGCGGGTCGCGCTGCTGCCGGGCTCTGCTGCTGCAGCGCCGCCAGAGCGAGTCCCCATTGCACGGTGGCCCCCCAGCAGCAGCAGCCGCCGCCCCCTGCGCCCGCCGTGGACATGAAGAGCTACCTGTGGGCTCGCTACAAGGAGGCCAAGAAAGTGACCAAGGGTGAGTGCCGCGCAGAGCCCCCGGGACTGGGGCTTCCGCCAGCATCAATGTCGTGCTGGGGCCAGAGGGCACCTCCCCCCCCTCTCGGGCACGTGGGCAGCAGCTGCCGCAGGGCACCGCTCTGTCACCCCCTCCGCTGCCCTGCCAACGGGCCAGGCGGCTCTGGGTGATTCTCTTGCCAAAGTACATCCGAGGCTCTGGGGTGAAGAGCGGTAGCCAGACCGGGGGAGCCCGACTTCATTAACCTGGGTAGTGCACCCCACCACCATTAATGCCCTTGAGGAGCAGGGAGGACCTTGAGTCCTTATACAAAAGCTTTCCCCAAACCTCCATGTTCAGCAAACTTCCTGGTGCTTGGTGCCAACCTGGGAAGGGTGAAGGAAATGACTGACTGCCTGCTGCTAGGATTTGGACTTGTGGTTGCAGGGAGCCTGTGTCCGTGGCAGCGGAGCCTTACCTCATAAAGCTAGCTGCTTCAGTAGTTGCTTTAAGGGTGCTAGTTGTGAAGTGGATGCTTCCCCAATAGGAAATAGAATGAGTCAGTTAAAGGCCAAAACATTTCACTCAAAATAAAATTTGTGCTTTAGCTTTTCTAGAAATACCTGCACTAGCTAGTATTATGTTTGCTATATAAGACAGAAGGAAAAATAAAGTTTCCACAAGATAGTGGGTTCAGGTGGAAAATTGAAGGTAAACTGAGTCCATGTTGAGCTTTTCTATCACGCATAGTTTTTAAAAATGCATTTTGTTTTTACCATTTGGTTTTTTGTGTCTTTTTGTAGTTGCCAAATGATGCCTTACACCATGGTGATTGTAACTAGTTGCAGATAGCTAAAATATGACTCTGCATAGTGATGTGACTGAAGTCTGTTATGCAGCTCCTCAAATACAGTATTTTTAGTATGACTGATTTATGTGGTTGGCTTTGTCTTCATGAAAACTACAATAGCCTCTTTTCACAATCATCTTAAATTATGGGTGACTTCACTTTTATCTTATCAGAGATAAGAGACTACATTAAAACTGATAAGAGAGTCTGAAGACTGAACTATCAACAAATGTTGGGCAGCATCTGTATTTTTTCAGACCACAAATACTGAAGTAACTGTGAACCATTCTAATTACATTTTTGAACTAGAAGCTATTAACTTTAAATATTTAAAACTATTTTGAAAGAAAATGTTTTACTGTGGTGTAGCTCAGAGTTGATAAAAACTTTTTACGTACACCTCTACCCCGATATAACGCTGTCCTCGGGAGCCAAAAAATCTTACCACGTTATAGGTGAAACCATGTTATATTGAACTTGCTTTGATCCGCCGGAGCATGCAGCCGCGCCCCCACCCCCCCCGAGCGCTGCTTTACCGCGTTATATCCGAATTGGTGTTATATCGGGTCGCGTTATATCGGGGTAGAGGTGTATTTGTTTTGTAATCTGTTCCATTGTAGCACTAGACAAAATTAAATTAAACAAATAAGAAAAGCAAGGAGTTAATTTAATGTGTGTATATGTGATCTTTTTGTTTGAGGCCCCTTCTGCAAAGGGGTCACGTTCCAAAAGTGGTAGAGTGAAGTGACCTTTTAGTTGGTTCTCTTTTGGCTACAAGTCCAATTAATTAATTACTATTTAACCCCAAGACTGCTGCAGCGGAATGTCCCCACTTCTGGTAAATAACTCTGAGGTATTGAAGCAAGGAATCAAAAGTTGATGATAAGTAGGCTTGTGCAGAGTAACTTCAGGCAGTTTTCTGAAGATGAGGGAACAAGGCTTCGTTGGGTCGGTCACTTAGAGCAGGGGTTTTCACGAAAAAAATTTTTGATGGCCCCAGAGTGCGGCCACCAACTCTTACTCTGACAATTTCCCCTAAAATACTCAATTAGCGGATGGAAAAACAAGCAAATACGCACATATACACATCCAAGGCACCGACCTGTCTCTCTGTCCCTCCTACGGCCCTTCAGTGAGAGCCCGCCCCAGGGAAGGTGGATCTGGAACTGACTGGCTGCTTGTGGAGTCCCAGGCTCCCTGTGCCCTAGCTGTGGGGGAGCTGCCCAGGGGAGCGCACCAGCAACTGAACGCTACAGCTACCTTCACTGACAAGAGCTGCCTCAGGCGTTGTGCACACTGGTCCCATGTCTCTCCAGAGGCGCTGCCCAGAGCATCCAAGGAGGCTGCGCAGTGCAGGGCACCGATCCCTGCTGGCGGCTCCAGCGCAAACATCAAGGCGGCACATCTGGCTGTCCTTGGTAACAAGTATTCAGGAACAACAGCTGGGCACTGCAGGGAGGGGCCGCTGCAGACCGCAAAGGGAGACTGAGGGTAAGGAGGGCCATGACTCAAGCTATTTGAGGAGTGGCTGAACCTTTAAATTGTGCCCTCTCCAACAACATACACAACTTGGGGGGGGACCCGCATATGCCCCTCCAATCTCTGCCCATGCTTTGGAGGCTGTTGTGGCTGGAAATAAATCCGTTGGTGGCTGCATGTGGCCATGGTGGCCGCATTTGAGAAATGCTGCCTTAGAGTATGTCTACACTGCAATAAAAAACTTGTGGCACAGGGTCTCAGAGCCCAGGTCAGCTGAGTTGGGCTTGCAGGGCTCAGGTTGCAGGGCTATAAAATTGCAGTGTAGATGTTTGGGCCTGGGCTCTGACCCTTTATGAAGTCTCAGAGCCTGAGCCTGAACCTGAACACCTACATTGCAATTTTATATTCTGCAAGCCTGAGCCACCTGACCTGGGCTAGCCACGGCTGTACTGTGGGTTTTTTATTGCACTGGAGATATGCCCTTAGCCTCTCTCTGCCTCAGTTCCCCATCTGTAAAATGGGGATAATACTGTTCCTCAGAACGCCTGTGTAAGGTACAGAAATGCATTAAAGATTGTGAAGCTCTTTGAGATCTACTGATGAAAAGCCCTATATAAAAGCTATGTATTTTTATTATTTAACAGCCTGGCTAAGTTGCTACCTGAGAATTTGAAGGTCTAGTGACCTCAGTCACACAGGTATATCATCATTATATAGAAGCATGCTCTCTGAAGCATCTTACAATTATAAAATGTTAGTAACCACTTTCGGTCACTACCATCTGATGGCTGTTTGGCCTGTGTGAAATTATTTTAGTGGGCTCAGTCTATTTCCCTCTGCCCACATTATCATTGGGGGCGGGGGAGGTAGAGCATTACCAAGGTGCACATGTCTGCAGCTTCATTGGATAAGTCAAGGACTGAATGGGATCTGGCGACTGAAGTAGAGTTTGTTGCTCAGCATCAGGCTTCAGGCATATTGAGAGAAAGATGTGGGGAAGCTTGCCCTGTGCTACCGATGGCATAATCATTCTGGATAATACTTCAGACTCCCATCTTTCAGAAGTGCTAAAATCACACACTCAAATGTATAATTGCAGGCACTTTCGTCATATATGAGAGAGTTCAAAGGACTTCAGGGGGTTTTTGGGTGGAGAAACGTAGAGGTCATGCAAACATACATGCCGCATATGGTTCTGGATCTTTTCTTTATGCTCTTTTTTGGCACACCTTATCCATGTTGGTTGCAAATCCCACCCAGAAATATTTTTAGAGGCATTGTCTCAGTGCTGCTGAGGAGGCCTGGCCTACGTTAGGGGAATGAGGTCTGTAAATACTTGGATGGAACTATAGAGGCAGAGGTAAAGTATTTTCAGGATCACTTGGGGATTGAGGTTGTTTGTTATAGGCTGACATTTAGTTTTTATTTCACTGTTCAGTCAGGACCGATTAATCATCTTACGTTAAGTCATTTTGGCCTAAGTAGTATGTGGCTTGGGGTATGTCAGGCAGACAATGTAGTTAATATCTGAAATCTGTTTATAATAGCTTGGTTTACAGCTTTCAGGCAACCATGAAATATCTATAAAATGAACTCTGGGCAAAAACACTGAGGAAATATAGAAATAACTGTGCCATGTTGAATGCACTGTTGCTGAAAGAGAGAGAGAAAGAGGTCTTTTCACACTCTCGGGTTAGGAAATTGGGGGTTAATGGCACACTATCAATGTTTACTTCATTGTTTGGGAAGAATAATTATCTGTTATGTTATCTTTACTTGCCTGAGTTGGAATTAATGGTGCAAGTGTTAGCTGTTACCACTCAAGAAAGAGATCTGGGAGTCATTGTGGATAGTCCTCTGAAAACTTCCACTCAATGTGCAGCGGCAGTCAAAAAAGCAAACAAAATGTTAGGAATCATTAAGAAAGGGATAGATAATAGGCAGAAAATATCATATTGCCTCTATATAAATCCATGGTGTACCCACATCTTGAATACTACGTGCAGATGTGGTCACCCCATCTCAAAAAAGATATATTGCTATTGTTAAAGGTTCAGAAAAGGGCACCAAAAATGATTAGGGGTATGGAATGGCTTCTGTATGAGGAGACTGGAACTTTTCAGCTTGGAAAAGAGACTACAAAGGGGGGGCGGGGTATGTTAGAGGATTATAAAATCATGACTGGTGTGGAGACAGTAAATAAGGAAGTGTTATTTACTCCTTCTCATAACACAAGAACTAGTGGGGCACCAAATGAAATTAATAGGCAGCA